TGGAGATGCTGATAGGAGACTGAGAAGAGATACTAGATCAGGCAGAAATAAGTGAAAACAAAGAAACAGCCCTCCAGATCTCAGAGGGAGCTCTGGTGTCTTGGAAACAGCCTCTTTCAGCTCAGATTGCTTGGTCCTGAGTCATCTCATATATGGAAGTGATCAGAATACCTCTGAAGTAGAAATGTTTGCCTCATATCTCTGCTTCATATGAGACTTCTGATAGATACACAGGCAACCAGACACAAATTTTACAATCTTAAATATTTATGTATCTATCTATCCATGTATATGTTCATTTAATATATTGCTTTTCTCCCAATGGAGGCCCAATGTGGCTTACAACATTATTGGAGATTCAACTAAAGTCACAGTTGTTTGCAGTAGTAGAACACAGTTAAGCATGCTATGGCATTAAAAGAATGAACTATTGAACTATTTTAAAAGATATTAAAGTACATCAGGAAACAATGTAAGTAAATAAGCACAGCATACATCTGTTGCCAGTCAGTTGCCAAAAGTCTGGCTGAATATAAAAGGTGTAAATACACTCAGTCATTTACCCCTCCTGATACAATATTAGTCAAGGATAAGGTAAAATTTGTTTTTCGACACTGAAAAAGTGAGAATTAGCCCAAACTATATAGATCTGATTGTTTCTTTCACAGAAATGAAGTATTTTAAAAATGCTATGAATTTATATTGGCATAATCCATTTGAGGCTATCCTGAAGTGGTAGATTACGGATTCCATTATTTCCCATGATAGTGGCAACCCATGTTAGCTTGAGGGTGGATGTTTTAGGCCAACATATCTTGAGTATGTGACATTGGGGAAAGTCTACTTCTGATTGTTGATACTTCCCTACTATGATTTTGTATCTCTCTTTTGCGGATATCTCCTGCCATTGGGGTGCATCACCAGTTAAAGAAAAATGTCTCTGTTAGGCAGCCCCTCAGAAGCATGATGTACGTATTCTTTGCTCAAGAAGGAGAAATGGAGCCAGTGTGATGATTGACAAAAATGCATTATGGCGTGACCTAGTGAAAATCTTTATCCAATGAAAGCCATCAGCTTTCAGCACTATCTTCCTCTCAGGAATTCTAGCTTGCCATCAGAGAAGAAATGAACCAGGGACTACTCATATTTCTAATGAAAGACCAAGTCAGGAGGAGAAAAGCAAAATAAGGGATAATGACAAATACTCGAACATAATTGTAAATTTAAGATGTACTAGAATATTTGACTATAAGTCTGTAAGTGTTGTAACCCAACCAGAGTTGTGCTGTGATACTAATGGGAGTGGGATACAAATTGAATGAATGAATGAATGAACAGACGAATGAATGAATGAATAGGATGCCATCTGGCTTGGGTATAAGTTTTGTTTTAGTCAAATATAATGGGGTCTCAGAAAATATTCATTATCGTCTTGTTTCTGGATATCTCCAAATTAGTGACTATTATATTACAGGCCAGTTCTTCTATTACTGGCACATGGACATGGCTGAAGATATTTTGTGGCCCAAACCTGAAAAATTGTATGGGTGCATGAGCCAGAAAATTTCCCCATTTCTGGTGAGGGGAGGGGACACAGTAAAAAGGAGCCTGGTGGTACAGTGGTTAAACAGCTGAAGTCAAAACTCTGCTCATGATCTGAGTTTTATCCCAATGGGCTCAAGGTTGACTCAAAATGTAGAAAATAGAATCAAGCTCTTTATTCTGTATTTCTTTAAATGAGTTGTTAAAAAGCTCTGGCTCAACGTGTTTCGGCAAAGCCTTCTTCAGGAGCGAGCTTCTTTATACTCTCTGCACCTTTCTTTGGTCTATATCAGCTCCAAAACTGTTTGAAAGTGCAGGCGCTCAGTTTTGTAGTTTTGGAGCTGATATAACATATCAGTTCTATATATAGCTGATATAACGATATAACATAAGCGGATGGGGCTATAACATTCATCCACCCAATACTTACCAGTAATTTAATTTGGACTAAGAGGGCACAACCTCTGCTGATAATTATGTTCCAATAAAACTGTAATTGAACATGTCCTAGCATGTTCCAAGAGCTCTTTCCTCTACTTCCTGGTGCCATTAGGTGTCTTGGGAATTTTATACCAGGTAGGCAAATATGTTATCCTGAGGTTTTGCCAATAATTTTTATTTATGATCTAATAACCATTGTAATCTGTGAATATTTAGTGCATAGATCCTTCTGAGAGATTGCAAAAGGTGCAGACACCCCCTGCCTAAAGCAAAGCTATGATAGCAGCAGTAGCAGCAGCAATCCAACAGTCCTTGAGAACATGCCCAGCACGCATAATGTCCCACATCTGTCTAGGAATGTGACCAAATTTGGCTGGAAAGCAAGTTTTGTTTAGTTTGCTTTCACAGACATGATATCAGGAACTCTTGCCACATCCATGTGAGCTTTGAAGGATAAGGCTATTGACATCCACTCGTTATGTAACTTCCAAGCTGAAGGACAGGAGGCCACTGAATACCAAAAACAAAAGACAGCTGTCACCTATCCAGACCTGTTTGTGCACTCTACGTAGACATCCAGTGAGCTGCAGTGAAGGCTTGTCCATTAGGGCAAATAAGGTGTTGACTCACCCCGGGCTACTCTTCTTTCTGGCTGCTCCTGCCTGCTCCTGCCTGCTTCTGTACCAGAAGCAGAGGATGAGCCACATGTGTTCTTTACCTTGTAGAGGCAAAAAGTTCCACTTTCATCTCTGGCTCTGCCTATCATCCATGGCTTTGCCGAACTGTGTGGTGCTTTCTGCTAACCAAAATGGCACCAGCCACCACTGTTTGATCATTATGGGAAATAACATTTAAACAAAGGGAGCGAGCCCAAGACACTTTGGTTCCTGACTAAATGCTTGCTCCCCGTTCAAGTGCATAGTGCCTAAAGCCAGCCAGGTTTTTTTCAGTGTGGGAGGCTGAAAGTTCTACCAGCAGTTCTCCTCATTCCTGACTATAAAAATATAATTCAATAACCATGTGCTGCCCCTTTTGATGACTCCCACAATCTGCTGCCCAAGGCAGCCATTTCAGTCTGCCTAGTGGTAGGACCAGCTCTGGCGGGGCTGGGGCTCAAGCAAAACATCTTGCATGCAGCAGAGAAAAATAAGGAGCTGAAGAGGCATGAATAGATTTGTGGAGGTGGAATGGGGTGGGAAGACTGGAAAGAGAAGAGACAGAAACAGCTGCCTTAGAGGTGTGAAGAGAGTTGGTTTACTGCCAAGGGAAGACTGCTGAACAAGTATGATCAGTGTGGAGAGAAGAGGAGAGAGGAGAAGAAGCTTAATTGAAAGGCCACAAATACATTTCCAAGATTCTGAGAAAAGAGAAAAGGCCACCAGGCCTGGAAAAGGGCCAGGCTATAGGTTCTCATCCCTTTGTCCCTACCTCCCATATGCTGCAAATTTTCCCTGGGGGGGAGGGGGAATTTGTCTACCTCTTCCCAGGGAAAGTAGTTCTGGCAGTAAAGGCCTGGTGCATTGAAAAACATGGAAGTATGTTTAGGAATGCCCATTTCTGTGGGACATGTGATGGAGATGGTTGCTTCATTCCTGTCCTGCTGGTTGGCATTCTGGGAGCAGAATAGTAAAGTAGGCTAGGTTCTGGACCGATCCAGCATGACTCTTCTTAAATTCTCAGGCCTTGGATTTGTACAGGCAATAAGATATCTCCTTACCATGCAGTGTGCCATTTCTAACTGAATACTGCAACTTGCTATGGCATTTAATCCCATATCTGTTTCCATCTTCCATTAACAATGGAATGCCATCCATTTTTTTAAGTTGCAAGAAATGTACTATCTTTTTTACTACAAGTGATACTTTATTTTACATGTGGTAGATATGATTGAAAGCTATTCACAGTGTAGGTATTGATAAATCGATATGCTGGCAAAGCAGTATTCCTGTGTCTAAACAGCAGAGTTATAGCTAACAAGTGTGCAGCAGCAGCAACAACAACAAAGTAATATAAAAGAGATCCCCAATGCGAAATGTTCCAGTATAAATCTTCAGTTTCAGTTATTTTGATGGGATGAGTCACAGGGTTAACAGGAAAGATGAAGCATTAAATTTAATCTGGAGCACCTGCCATTTTAGATTCCATGTCCAAGTTTTACACAGAAACATTTCACATTTGGAATGTTTTATCTTGCCTTACTAAATATTTATGTGGTGGTGCTGCGGGTTAAACCTCAGAAGATTTATGTGGTGGCGCTGCGGGTTAAACTGCAGAAGCCTCTGTACTACAAATCAGAAGACCAGCAGTTGTAAGATCGAATCCACGCGATGGAGTGAGCTCCCATCGCTTGTCCCAGCTCCTGCCAACCTAGCAGTTCAAAAGTATGCAAATACAAGTAGATAAATAGGTACTACCATGGGTAGAAGGTAATGGCGTTCCATGTCTAGTCATGCTGGTCATGTGACCACAGAAACTGTCTATGGACAAATGCTGGCGCTATGGCTTGGAAACGGGGATGAGCACCACGCCCTAGAGTCAGACACGACTGGACTAAATGTCAAGGGGAACCTTTATCTTTACTAAATATTTGTTGTGTATTTTCTGGTTGTGGTTTTGTTCTTATCCAGGCAACTGTTTTTGTACTGCTTTAGAATAGTTCCAATTTCATTTATATCCCTGATTTCTCTTACATGATTCTTTCTTAGTTAAGAATGTCCAGCCTAAGGAAATTGGTTTGCTTGCCATGAAGTGTCCCTGCTTGCTTGCTTGCTTAAAATATTTTTACTCCACCTCTCTCCGTTAAAAGTACCAAAGGCAGCTTACATAATTAAAAGACAAATTTTAAAAGTTAAAAATAGTAAGTATACAAATATTAAAAAAGAATCAAACAAATACCACAATCTAGAGCTCTGATTGTGGAAACACCTTGTGTGTGTGTGTGAGAGAGAGAGAGAGAGAGAGAGAATAATTAAAAAGTGGTGGTCATGATTTCACTCTTTAATTTTTCCTTACCACAGATTATGAAGAAAATGAGCAACATTTATGAATCAGCAGCCAATACCCTGGGAATCTTCAGCAGCCCATGCTTGACCAAGGTGGAACTGAGAGTTGCATGCAAAGGTATCTCAGACAGAGATGCCCTCTCCAAGCCTGATCCCTGTGTCATCCTGAAAATGCAGTCTCATGGGCAGTGGTTTGAGGTAAGTGCTCAGTTTTGCATATATAGAAAAGTCCCACCCCACCCCCTAGTGATTTGATGCCATGTTGCAGTAGAGCACCAAAGCTTGAAAACATGATTTCGGGAGATTGTAAATTCCAGAATCCCCTCATCAGCCATGCTGGCTATGGAAGTCTGGGAGTTCACAAAAACTTCCCAAAGCTCTGACTGGTCCTTACTGATCTTGGAGATATAAAAATATATGCCTGAAGATATGAATATACTGTATGAAGATATGAGCTCTAGTTATGGAAATTTCAGGACATCTTCAGCAAGGTGGGATGAGGAGACAATGTGGACAATTTGGTCAGTTGAGATGCAAAGTGTATCTATTGCACTGCAGATGGAAAAGATAAATTATTCAGTCTATAGATGTATGTGAGATGTGCTCCTAATATCCATATCTGGTACTTTAGAATAGTTTGACTGATACCTTGTCAGCCTCAATGCCTACCCTGTTCTTTTGCTCAAAAAATGAAGGATCTTAACAATGCTTGGGTTAGAGATGGATGCTTCTTCTCGCTGGATGCCCTCTGTCTGTTGTGAGCCCTGTGCCATTTGGCAGGTGTGGTGGTGGAGGAGCTGGCACTTGGTCTCTCAGCTTCAGAGGAAAGTGCTTGGGAGTCCAGGTTTTGGCTTGACTTTAGTAATGTAGTTTGGCTTTTCAGCCAGTACCTTGGCTCACCTCATTTTCAGACTCAAGTTTGGGGCTTGGGACAGTGCAACAAGAACTGCCTAAGAATCCCATGATGCTGGATTTAAAGATGGAACTTACTTACTTACTTACTTACTTACTTACTTACTTACTTACTTACTTACTTACTTACTTACTTACTTACTTACTTACTTACTTACTTACTTACTTATTTATTTATTTATTTATTTATTTAACTTATATGCCACCCACACTACCCAAAGGTCTCTGGGCGGCTTACAACAATTAAAATACAGTTAAACTATATACTCTAAAAGTTGCCATCAGGACCCACAGTTGATACTATTTCAATTAAAAGCCTTCAGGAAGGTTTTGACCTGGCGCCGAAATGTCATCAGCGTCGGCGCCAGACGAATCTCAGTCGGGAGGGCATTCCATAGTCTGGGGGCAGCTGCCGGAAAGGCCCTTTGTCTACAAGCCGTCCCTCTTACCTCCTTGAGCGATGGCTCTTTCCAAAGGACCCCCTGACTATATCTGAACTGCTGGGTAGGTTCATATAGAAGGAGGCGGTCCTTCAGGTATCCGGGGCCCAAGCCGTTTGGGGCTTTATATGTCAAAACAAGCACTTTGAATTGGGCCCGGGAAGCAACTGGTAGCCAATGTAATTTAAACAGAATCGGCTTGATGTGTCCCCTAGCGGCCCTATCACTTCACTTTAAAATATAACACAGTTCTCTTCAGATGGGGGGAATTTTGGCACATCCAAGGGCCAACATTATGAACTCTTCCTATATCTTATTCTTTTAAAAAAATTAAAAAAACTGACTAGGAGTTTCCCTTTCTTCTTTTTAAAAAATTAACAAACCTCTACTTGGTTCAGAAGAGAATTGCTGTTCCTGGAAGCATCTGGGGAATGGTGGTTCTCTTTCTTTGTGCAGTCCAAGACAATTTGGAGGCCACAAAAATAGGTAGGACCCTCATGCAACCCATCAGCCACATGTCACTAACACTTTTCTTTAGATTGTGCCAGCTCTTTTGAAGTCAGTGTGATTTCATTTAACTCTGAATCCTCTGAAATATTGACTCAAGTGATTTTAACGATCAGATGATCTGACCTTATCAGTATCTCTTAGAATGCTTAGATGCTACACTAGACATGTGGGTGTCATTTCAGCTTCCCTTTAAACAATATAAAATAAAGTGGTACGCGTTAGACCCCAAGTGGAGGAACAAAGGAATCCTCAATATGTGAGATGGGGGGCATTAGGGAAAAGTAGCTTTCTTGTTATATCCCACAACTGAACTTCATTTTCGTGATTCCTCAGTTGGAGGGATGATTCTTTTGCCAGTTGGACTGAGGCTAATTGTTGTATATGCATATTCTGTGACTGTGCTTCCCTCTGAATAGAAGGCAAATGACCTCAGCAGATGGTTTTGCCATCTTTGTTCATGTTAGTCAAACCGGCTTGCAAAATGTACCGAACCCTGGCATGTCTGCTTGATGTTCCTTGCTCATGGTTTGGAGGTGAAGCTGTCAAAACACATGGCAGCTTTGGCAACAGGAGAGTGAGGGAAGAAAAGATGCTTATCTATCCCTGCTGTGATTCCCTGCTGGAGAGCAGACAATGCAGGCTAGCTTGTTACCTCAGGAAGCTGTTCTGGCTCCCGTCTTTATTTTTCAAATATAACACAGGATTTTATTGTACTGCTGTCGGGGAATAAAGTGCACAGTTGCAAAACCAAGAAGTTGGGCTGCTTCCAAATGAGACTTTAAGTGTGCAAAAGGCCCTGTCTCTTGCACAAACTTTTATGGGGGATCAAGATATTGCTGTCATCCACCAGCCTTCCAGAGTTTTCCTTTCTTTCTTTTTTTTCTTAACAGAAAAACAGAAAAACTTGTTAAAGATGGGGAAGCTGTGACTGGCCCCAGCTCTCCCCAATATGGTACAGTGTATTGCCTTATTTCTAAATTATAGTAATAATCTATAAATCTGAATGTTTGTAATTTATGTAATTACAAAAGTGTGTGTATATAAATATTAATATTTTTATTATTTTAAAAACTTTATAAGCAACCCTGGCCTCTATCTTTTAGTCAAAATAAATAACATATACATAAATACATATATCAACAGGCATTTAAAAAACTTTTTGTTTTTGCAGATTTAGCATAAAGAACAAAACTGAATTGAACTAACAAAGAAAGAAAAAAGACAGAACATAATAAGAATAGCAAATATAATGTTAGTACTCATTATAAACCACCATTATAAATTTGAATACAGTTGAAACCATCAATACATACATTTCAGTTTATGCATATAAATCTATAGGTCTTCCAAATGTCTGAATAAATGCCCACACGAAATTTACATCTGTGTGATACATTTTGTAGCTAGTACAAACAGATTCTCTGTGTAGCGGATAGTGGATATATTCGCCTTTTCTGTGGGATCAGTATTCACTGATTCACTTATCCACGGTCTGTAAAAATTATATTAAATATTTAAAGTATTAAAAGAAAAAAGGCAGAAAAATCCACATTTTACACAACCAGCCACTAGAGGGGGCCAGAGGGACCATGCTATGACAAATACAGTGGTGCCTCGCAAGACAATGTTAATTTGTTCCGCGAAAAACGCTGTCTTGCTAAAACATCGTCATGCGAAACACGGTTCTCTATTGGAATGCATTGAAATCTATTTAATGCTTTCCAATGGGAAAAAACATTGTTTTTGCGAAAATCGTCCATAGAAAACATCGTCTTGCGGGACGCGGTTCGCCATTGGAATGCATTGAAATCTATTTAATGTGCTTCAATGGGGAAAAATCATCGTCTTGTGAAAATCGTCCATAGAAAACATCTTGTGAAGTGTAACAGCGATCGCAAAAACCAGTCGTCTTGCGGATTAATCATCCCGCAAGGCAATCGTCTTGCGAGGCACCACTCTCTATATAACAAAGCTGCTTGCAAGCTTTCTGCTTGGAGGTGGCACAGAGGGCTCCTCTTGCTTGCTGGTTTACCTGGAGGTAAAAAAAAGTGTCAGTGCTGGGTGATCTAGGCAGGAAGTGAGACAGGGGAGTCTCCAGCCAGCTTGCTCTGCAATCAAGCCTGAGAGTGTGCCGGCAAACAGCTCAGCATGCTCATGAGTGGCCCTCCCAAGGTGGTGGCAGTGGTAGCCTCCCCATGAGTGGGCCTCCCAAGGTGGTGGCAGTGGTAGCCTCCTCACTCCCTTCAGATGACCTTTGGGTTTCATGGATTCGAAGGAGGACTGGGGGGGATTTGTCCCTATACCTTCCAGATAGTTGGCAAGGACAGGGAGGGCATCTGGTTTGAGGGGGGAGGTGTTTGCTACAATCCATGTTCTTCAGGGGCTTGGAACCAATTCTCCCACAGATACACAGATCCTACTGTGCATCTTTCCAAGCTCAGAGTAAAAGTCCCTTAGTTGCCATAATAGCTTGTAAAGTTCTGTTTCATTGTCCAGTTGTTAGACCCCATAGGGCAGAGACATACAGTAATTTAAGAGAACATGAATATCTGTAAATATCTAAGGTTTCCCCAATACTTTTTAAATACAAGTAATAACTTCAAATCAAAATAAATGAATTGCTGGACAATCTCTGATCGTATATGTCAAGGATGCACTCCCAATATTACAGTTTCAACATCTTTCACAGTTTTAAAAATACTTACTAAATAACCATTGTGGAGTCCCAGCATGTTCTACATACTACTTTTTGTTGGTTCAGTCTTGGTGTCAGGTCTGAAGAAAGAGCCCACATAGATTCTAATACATTTTCCATTGTTTGGATTGTATGCTACCTTCTAATTCTCCATTCCATAACTCTCTGAGCTCTGGAATGTCTACCATATAAAGACCCATTGAACACTTAGAAACCACAGTTGTGGGCTTATATTTCTGAACAGATTCAATAATTCCATCCAACAGCTTAGGAGATTCTGAAGCACTTGGTGCAGATGGACCATAGACGCTAGCAAATGCTGAAGCTAGAGATTGTCATTTTGATCTTGCAAGTAGATATTTTTAGCCCGTAGAGAACATTAGAAATTCATTGTCCAAACCTATCCACCAGTCTAAAGTATATATACCACATTTCACCCACTTCTTTCACAAAAAAAGGCTTCTTTTCTGTCTTCAGATCTGGATTCCCTTATAATTTTTTTAAGCATGTGCATATGAATCAAATTTTAGCTAATGAGCCAATACACACCCTGTTTCTCTAATTGTTGAAATTTAAGGCAGTATAACTCCTTTTTTTCTTGCTGTATTTTGAACCCAAAACAAACCATCCATAAAGAGGTG